AAGTGTAACAAAAATCCCGCACATCATTTAAGAGCCACTATAGCAAGCATCAAAACCTTCTTTGGCTTTTTTTTTTTCCTGTTCCCAGAAGCAACCCAATCTTGTGAGAAGTCATTTGTCACTTAAAGAATAAAATGCTCTTCCATCCAAAAGATAATGAAATAGCTCACTAGCTACACTTCCAGGTTATCAGCACACAGTATTTCAACATAAAGGGGCTGGGTCAAGACAAGCCATGAGTCCGGAGCAACATTAAAAAAAAAAAAAAATCATGCGGTTATCACAGCCAACCAAATCTGTCCTCTTGACCCACCCCAAAAACAGGAAGAAAAAAAACAAAACCAAAAGAAACCCCACACTTTCCACCATCAACATCTGACTCTGTTTTAAGTCCTCTACTTCTATGCATTTGCCTACGTGCTTCATCCTTCTGAGGCGCAACCTTTTATTTAGGTCTCAATATCCAAACGAAGGAATCTCCCTCGCTTCAACGGAGACTCCCACATTTGGGATTAATTCTTAGGCAGTGCTTAGGTGTTCTCTGATCAAATCTGTTACAACACATTTCCAGGAGATGCTTTCAATCTTGCTCAGAACATTTTGAAATCACCCTCGATCAAATGGTCAGAGCTCAAGACGGTCCCAGTAGGAGGAGGGAGAGGAAATGCTGATTCCCTGAAACAGGGCTATGAACTGGTCTTTCTTCTTCTGGGAAAAAAGGGGTGGGGAAAAAATCCTAACCTACAAGACACCAAAAGAAAAAAAAACAAACAAACAAAAACAGAAACCAAGAAGAAGAAAGAGAGATCCACACATGTTCACGCTTGGCAAAAAAAAAAAAGGAAAAAAAAAAAGTGACAAGAGCTAAGCAAACACGAGGATCAGGGAAAGTAAACATCATTACCTGTGGTACTGAGCCTGCAAAAACTGAAACTCCTCCTTAATCCGATCGCAGGATTCGGAAATGGTGAATTTAAAGGGTTGAGCAGGCTGATGAGGAGCCTGAAAACAACCAACATGAAATGTTTTAATTATCCCGCATCTCACGCAGTCCCAGACAGGGGCGTGCACACGTGTGCGCACACACACACACACACCCCCACCCCAAGCAGTGTGTGCAAGGGGGGTTAGGGTCACCCCCACACGGCATTACGGAATCAGGCTATTACAACTCACCTACTTTTGCGGGCACACCCCCCCACCCCGCCAACAAATATGCCCCAAGCAATGTGTAGGGGGGGGTTCAGTCACCCACAGTATTAATGGAAGCAGACTATTAAGCCTCCCCTACTTTCTTGCACGATTACACGCACGCACACACACACACACACACACACACGCGCTCCAAGCATTGTGTACAAGGGGGTTCGGTTATCCACAGTGTTAAGGAAGCAGGTTATTAAAACTCACCTACTTTCCCACCCCACCCACAAGCAATGTGTACGTGGGGGTGGGGGTTGATCACCCACAGTATTAAGCAAGCAGGCTATTAAGCCTCCCCCCTACTTCCCCCCCCCCCCCAAACACCAAAACACACCCCCCAAGCAATGTGGACGAGGGGGGCTGGGTCATCCACCTGGCATTAAGGAATCAGACTCACTTTCCCCGACACAGACCCCTGCAAGAGTCCCTTCTTTCTTTACACCCCCCAGCTCTATCTATCACTCCTGTAAGCCAAGGGAAGGAGACAGTCATGTGTGGATCCCCCCGGCCCCGGGGCAGCGGGAGGGTGGCCCGGACCCCGGGATGAACACCACCCGCACACACACGAGCCCGGGTCCCCGCCGAGTCAGGACCGAGCTGCGGCGATAAGAAAGCAGCTGAAGGCGCTGCCAGCCTCGCTCCCTCTTTCGCTCTGTAGTTTGCCTCGGAAGCTGGAAAAGACGGGAGCGATCGCAAGGGCCGGCAGCAAAACCCCCGCAGACACCGGAGAGCCAGGAAAGCCAAAGACAACAATAAGAAAATGGCTACAACTCAATTGCCCCCCCCCCCCCCTCCACCCTCTTTTTGTTTCCCGTCCCCGCCCGGCC